ATGTACTCTTGCTCTGGAGTGTGTTACTGAATATGTTAAAGCTGTAGTGAAATGCTTCTTCTAATCATGTAGTTATTAAAAATTAAAAAAAGTATTCTAAAAAAATGAATAAAATATTAAAAAATTTATTTAAAACTTATTTATTTATTTATTTGTATGGGCACAGGTGCAACAGCATATGGGTAGATGTCAGAGGACAATTTGCAAGACTTGGTTTTCTCCTTCCATCATGTGGTCCTGAGGCAGAACTCAGGTTATCAAGCTTGGCAGAAAGTGGCCTTTTCCCATGAGTCATCTCGCCAGCTCCTGAGGCCAGAATCTTAACATAGCATCCCAGATGGCCCCCAGCAACTGGCCAGAGCTGGCACATAAGACCTCTATGCCATCCTTGTCAGAGGGTTTTTCTGTGCATTTATGTCCTCCAGACTAGAGTGAGCTCCTGAGGGGCAGTGGGCCTCCAGTTTTCCTTTGTTATCTCTGTGTACAGTAGTGTCTCCAAACAGAATGCCTGTACAGTTAACTGCAAGGGAAGACAGAAGCACCAGGGCAGCTGGGTTAATGGGGAGGAGTATGGGTGAAGGTCTTTTTTTCTGCTGGTAGCTGTAGTGAACAAAGAGGTTTTTAAATGGAAGACACAAAGTAGGAATAGGAAAAGGAGAATAAGGGACCATGGATGAGCCACAGACTGGGTACAGCAGCACTTACCTCACGATTGGATTTCCATGGTACAGGATATAAATGCCAGCCTCCTTATTTGAAAAGATTTGGTTGTTCCTGATGACACCTTTCCCGTTGCCAAGGACAACAATGCCAGAGCGAAGGCCGTGGTGGATCTGGTTACACTGCGATTGAAAGTGAGACACGGACGACAGATCAAACACACTAGCAAGAAGCAGAGCACTTGAACACTGCCTCACAACCGTACCAGGATGGATACCTCACCAGAAGATCCTGCCCTGCTTTCCTTGCGTGGGTACATGCATGGAAACAGTAAGGCAGGCTGTTCAGGTGAGTCCTCCCTGCAGCCTCATGGGATATAGTTATGCTGGCTCTTGCTGCTGAGGGCTTTTGTGCTTTATCTGCAAGGTAGGTTATGCAATGTGTCTGAACCTCTTCAGAGCTCTCCCAATACAAAACCATCCAGCAAGGGCACACCAGTCTGGATACAAGTGCCCACCTCTCAGAGAAAGACAGCAACTCAGTACAGAGAATGTGGGCCAAAACATATGGGGGCCTCACCTACAGGGGGGTGAGAACCACTTGGCTCCTGGTCCCCATTCAGGGGAGGCCTCTGGAAGGATGCAGAGGCAGTGGCTACCTGCTTGTCCTAGTTACTTTCTATTGTTGCAACATAAATACTGACCAAAACCAACTTGGAGAAGAAAGGGTTTATTTAGCTTAGACTTCCACATAATAGTTCACTACTGAGAAAACTCAAGCAGGACAGGAACCTGGAAGCAGGAGCTGAAGGAGAAACCATGGAGGAATGCTGCTTTCTAGTGTGCTCCTCCCTCCTTCCCTCCCTCCCTCTTTCTTTCTTTCCTTTTTTTGAGACAGGGTCTCCCTGTAGCCCAGCTGAACTTGCTATATAGACTAGGCTGACCTCCAACTCAAAGAGATCTGCCTGCCTCTGCCTCCTGAATGCTGGGATCAAAGGTCTATCATACCTGGCTCAGCTTGCTTTTCCTTTCTTTCTTTTTTTCAAATTTATAGCAACTTTATTCATAATTACCTGAAAGTGAAAAGAACTTGAAATGTTCTTCAACTTGGGACTCAACAAACAGCAGTACAACCACACAATGGAATTTCAAACGGGAAATCAGAACTGCTAACACACCCAATGATACGGGTCTCAAATCCATTATTCACACAGCCTTCTTTCTTTTTTAAAATTTTATTATTTTTATTTTATGTGTATGGTATTGCCTGCATGTATGTGAGTGCACCCGTGTTGTGCAATGCCGTGGAGGTCAGAACAGGGCTTCGGATTCCCCTGGAACTGGAGTTAAGGACGGTTTGTAGCTGCCATGTGGGTGCTGGGAATCGAACCCAGGTCCTCTGCAAGAGCAGTCAGTGCTCTTAACCGGTGAGCCATCTCTCCAGCCCCAGCCTTCTTTCTTATACAACCCAGGACCACCTGCCCAGGAGTGGTACCATCCACAATAAGCTGGGTTCTCCCCACCCACCGCCGGCCACATCACTCCATAATCAAGAAACTGCCTCACAAACATGCCCAACAGACCAGTCTTATGGAGGAAATTCCCCAACTTCCTGGGCAGTTCCCTCTTCCTAGGTGTGTCAAGTTGACAACTGAAGCTGCCCAGCATCTTACCCCATGGTGGAAGGCCAAAGGAGGTCTATCAGGCATAGGATGCTGAGCATACCCACTTCTGACACACCTTTGTACAAATGGGGACACAGGCACAAGATTGTATAGTATGTTTGTGGCAGAGCCAGACCTGAAACCTAGTTTTGCTGTCTCCTAAAGTATCTAGCTGCTTTTAAAAAGACTTAATATTTTGAGATTACAATATTTTTTGGTAAAATTTTGGTAAAATGTTCTAATTATTTTTGTGAGTGGATATGTGTGTATGTGTATGTGTGTGTGTGTGTATGTGTGTGTCGAGGCCAGAGGTCAACCTCAGGTGTCAGGAGCCACTCACCTTTTTTTTTTGAAACAAGGTCTTTCACTGGCCTGAAACTCTCCAAGAAGGCTCGGCTGGCTGGCCAATGAGCCCCAGGACCACCTGTCTCCATGTCTCCAGTGCTGAGACTACAAGTGAGTGCCACCATTCCAGTCTCAATCTTCCTCCCTCCCTCCCCTCCCTCCCTCTTTCCTTCCCTCCTTCTCTCCCTCTTTCCTTCCCTCCTTCCTGTCTTCTAGGGATTGAACTCTGCCCACTCCCTCTAATTAATATTTTATGGCTAAAATATCATCCCATACCTAAACCAGGAAGTGAGCGGCAACTCTTCCAAACAATGCCAGGGTGCCCAGCATGGGCACAGCAGTAATCCCAGCCCTCAGGCAGGAGGACCACAAGCTCAAGCTAACAAGACCCTATCTCAAAAAAAAATCAAACCCAAACCAAACACACAAATAAACAAAGATGTCACAGGCCTTGAAACATTTCTTCTGTCAGCCATAAAGTGAGGCAGGCAAATACCTGCATTAATGTATCTCCAAAGAATCCTTTCCTTTATTATTATTATTTTTTCTTTGGTCTTTTGAGATAGGGTCTTCCAGCTGGCCTGGAACTCACTTTGTAGACCAGGCTGGCCTCCAACTCACAGAGATCCACCTGCCTCTGCTTCCCAAGTGCTGGGATTAAAGGCATGCGACACCAACCCTAGCCCCTTTCCTTTATCTTAAACTAAAACTCAAAAAACTGAAGCATGCTCAGAGATGTTCCTGTCCCTCATTTTAACCTTTTGAATACACGTTCTATGACCATGTGCTAAGCATGCTCAAAAATGTGCCCACTATCTTTTCTTCTTAAATTATAACCTAAAACTAGCATGCTCAGGAAAGTACCCTTTAACTGTGCGTGCTCAGGAACATGCCCACTCCTAAAGTGTTTTTTATATTAATATGTACATGTTCTCCTGAGTAAAAACGCCATGGTTCCTTTGTTAGGGAGGGCATCACTTTAGAAATGCCTCCCATTGTCCCTTGCTGCTACAGGCAATAAGCTTTCTCCACTCTTATGCCTGGCTGTGCTTATTTTGGTCGCTGCGCTCCACAGGAGGCTAACCTCCCACAGCGGGTTACAGTATTACAAACTCTCCTAACCCTTGCTCTCTTTCCAGATTTCTGAAGAGGTTGGAGGATTCATCCAGCAGCCACTGCATGAGAGAGATCCCTCAGAAGGCTGAAAAGCTGAGGTGGGCGTTGAGGGGTGGTGTAACGATACTTCCATCTTTGCCCCTCTCCCTACTGAAGTAGCCTACCCCTCTGTCAGCAAACTCTTCTCATCTCTCTGGCAACAGTGTCAGGAACTTTCTAAGTTGAGGTACTGCATCACCCGCCAGCTGCACAGCAGAGGCCCAGTGAGGGGAAGGGACGGGCAGAAGTCTCTGGCTGGGTGTGTCTTTTTAAACATAGCTAAGAACTCTCCCTTCTCTGCCTTTCCACAGCCAGGCTGGATAGAATGAGCTAAGAACATCAACTCAGACTGCCTGCACTCAAATCCCAGCTCAGTGTACAGTGGGCAAGGTCCTTTGTCCTTGTGAGTCCCATGCCTTCACCTAGAAAATCATTCTCCTTCACAGAGTTGTGTAAAGATGAAAGGACAATTATGTAACTATCTACAGAGCACTTTCAAAGCATCTGGCACATAAACAGTCTGCTTAATACTGGCTGCTCCACTTCTAAGCCCATAATTTCCCAACTTCTAGAAATCTATTTCAGGAAAAGCCAGAGCAGAAAGGCAGCTGATCTCTCATACGCTGGTCACACATTCAAGGATTTTGTATGTGTGTACGTGCTTGTGTGCATGCGCAAATGTGTATGTACATGTGTGCATGAAAGCCAGAGGCTGATGTAGGGTATCTTCCTCAATCACTATCTTTTTGTTTCTTTGTTTTTGCCACCTTATCTTCTGAGACATAGTCTCTCACTATAACCTGGAACTTACCGATTGTGCTAGACTGGCCACCAGCGAGCCCCAAGGATCTTCCTGTCTCCATCACCTCAGCCCTGGGATTACAGGCATGCACCGCCACACCTTGCTTTAAACATGGGTGCTAGGGATCCAAACTTAGATCTTCATGCTTCCCATGCAAGCATGTTACCACCTTGAGCCATCTCTCTAGCTCCCATATTCAAGAATTTTAAGTGATTTTTCAGGTTGGTGTAAAACCAAACTCCAAGCTAGGTATGATGGCACATGCTTGTGATCTCCAGCACTCAGGAGGTAGAGCTAGGAGTATCAAGAGTCTTCAGCTATGTAGTGAGTTTGAGACTAGGCTGCATCTGTTTGAATCCCTTCATCACCCCACACCCCTCTCAAAAAAGAGTAAAACAAAATTCGATATGCTTTTACAACAGCTATAACACAACCTTCAGGGTAAAATATCCTACATGTCCTCTTTCTAGAAAGAACGGATGAATTAGATTGATTTTCTTTTGTTACGCTTTCAGATCCAGTCTTTAGAGCGGACACCACCTCTTTATTAGCATCAAGTTCAGAGCCAGCCACAAATGCCTAGAATGAGTCATGTTTGTATCATCCTTCTCCTGTTGGTGAGGAGACTGCAGAAGACACCTGTCCAAAGTCACTACTAACAGAGTCATGAAGTTACACAGAAAAGGACAGGAACCACTCTGTAATACTTAAATGACCTTAGAAAGGCTTCCCCAAACTAAGAGCAGTGTGAACAGCAAAGGAGGGCAGAGAGCAGTACCAGAATGAGTGGGTTGGATTTCTTCCGGATGTCTACACCAGCCTCTGCATTGTGGTAGATGTTGTTGCCAGCGATCAAGCCTCCACCCTCGAGGCGAAGAAAGATGCCTGAGGCCCGGCAGCGGTAGATGTCATTCCTGAGCATGACAATCTAAGCAGAAGGGAGAAAACCATTATTTTCTTGTCACAAAGACTGTTAAAAACTACCAAGGGTAGTGATGGCTTAGTGAGTGAAGGCGCTTGCCACCAAGCCTGATGGCTGGAGTTCAACCTCTCGGGACCTACATGATAGAAGGAGAGAATCAACTCCCACAAGTTGCCTTCCATACCCATACTGTGGCCACACACAGACACAGAAACAGACACAGACATACAGACACTAATAAATACATGTAAAACAAAAACAGCTACCAGAGGAGCATGCAAGTCTTTTCCCTCCCAACTGATCCCAGCAAAGCACAGACAGGGGAGAAGGGCACCTCTCTGTGCACTCCATCTTCCCACTTGATGCTTCAGAGGAAACAAGTCTCCCTATCCAGTGTGGCATTGCCTTGCAGGCTCTTTACTTTAGGCCAGGGCTTCAGGAAAACCTAGAAGCTTGGCTCTCTGCTCAGCATTAACTAGATCCTTGGATGGAAAGACCTTACAGAGGCTGGGTGTGGTGGTACACACCTTTAATCCCAGCAGAGGCAGGCAGATCTTCCAGTTAGAAGCATATTGAGTTCCAGACCAGTCAGGGATTACTATATAAGACCCTGTCTCAAAAAAAAAAAAAAAAAAAAAAAAGATGTTTACAGGCCCAATTTATAGGTCCTCAGACTTCAGGCTCGTGGGATTGCATGAAAACATCCTAGAAGTTGCCTTTTTTTGTTCTGTTTTGTTTTTCAAAAAGACACAGTCTTGCCAGGCGTGGTGGCACACGCCTGTAATCCCAGCACTCGGGAGGCAGAGGCAGCGGGAACTCACAGAGTTCAAGGCCAGCCTGGTCTACATAGTGAGTTCCAGGACAGCTGGGGCTACAGGGAGACCCTGTCTCAAAAAGACCAAAAAAAAAACCCAAAAAACAAAAAACAGTCTTATGAAGCCCAGGCTGATCTCAAACTTATTCTGTAGCCAATGAAGACACAAATGTACACACACACACACACACACACACACACACACACACACACACACAAAATAAATAGCTGGACGTGGTGGCGCATACCTTTGATCCCAGCACTCAGGAGGCTGTGAGGTGGAGGTCAGCCTGGTCCACATAGTGAGTTCCAGGCCAGTCGGGGCTACATAGTGAGACCCTGTCTCAAAAACCAAAATTAAAATAAATTAGTTGAAAATCAGAGTGGATGGCACCTGAGGAACAACATCTGAGGTTTGCCTCTGGCACACACATGTACACATACTTGCACATGCACCTATACCCACCCATGCCCACCCCCACACACAAATTAATGAGTTTAAAAAATGTCCATTATTTGTTTTTTTTTGTTTGTTTGTTTGTTTTTTGACACAAGGTCTCACTATGCAGCCTTGGTTGGCCTGGAGCTTACTACGTAGCTGATCTCAAACAGAGGTACTTGCCTCTGCTTCCCAACTGCTGGGATTAAAGACACGTGCCACCACAAGGGGGTGGGGTAAGGGGTAGGGGGAACCTACTCTATTCTTGTTCACTGTGAATCTTTCTTGGTGTAGTACCTGGTATGCAAAAAACACTGGGAAGTTTTAGATATGTTGGTATAAGGAAGTCTTTTTAAACAAAGTACCATAATCAGCTATATTAAAGGGATGTGTTTCTTGTTACAATTTCTCTTTAAAAAAATATTTTATTATTTTTATTTTATGTGTATAAGTGTTATGCCTGCATGTAGGTTAAGTGCACCCGTGTCTTGCAATGCCTGCGGAGGACAGAAGAAGCTGTTGGATCCCCTGGAACTGGAGTTACAGAGAGTTGTTAGATGTCATGTGGGTGCTAGGATTCGAACCTGGGTCTTCTGTAAGAACAATGTTCTTAACTGCTGAGCCATCTCTCCAGCCCCAACTTCTCCTTTTTTTTTTTTTTTTTTTTGATCTTTTTGAGACAGGGTCTCCCTGTAGCCCCAGCTGTCCTGGAACTCACTATGTAGACTAGGCTGGCCTCGAACTCACAGAGATCCACCTGCCTCTGCCTCCTGAGTGCTGGGATTAAAGGCGTGGGCCACCATGCCTGGCCAATTTCTCCTTATTTTCAATAAACATATCCACTGGGGCTGGAGAGATGGCTCAGCAGTTAAGAGCACTCACTGCTCTTGCAGAGGACCGGGGTTCAATTCCCAGCACCCACATGGTGGCTATGAACCATCCTTAACTCCAGTTCCAGGGGAATCCAACGCCCTCTTCTGACCTCCACAGCATTGCATGACACAGGTGCACTCACATACACACAAGCAATACAGTCATACACATAAAATAAAAATAATAAAATACATTAGCTAAATTGTTCTACTAATGAAAATATTTCATTAGGATCAAATTCAGGGAACACGTAATAGAACAAAAGTACAATGTCAAGGTTTCAGCTTCCGGTACCAATGAAAACAGAAAGGGCTTTGCTCTTACACTTGCACAAGAAGATAAAACACAGATATAACTTTTCTGGAACATATCCAAGAGCTGAGGCTGCAGGATTGTCAGGAAGCCTGAATTCCAGGGAAGGGGGGACAGGCACAGGTGCACCTACTTGCTCAACAGAGGTACAGTGAGAATTCTGGTGGGGTTTTTTGTTTGTTTCTTGTTTTTTTTTGTAACTGGGTCTCTCATTATGTAGTCCAAGGCTAGACTCAAACTCATAGCAATTCTCTTGCCTCAGCCTCCCAAGTGCTGGAATTATAGGCATGACTATAATGCCCAGCTTTGCTGACATTCTTTCTTAAAATTTATTTATTTATTTATATATTTATTTGTTTGTTTGTTTGTTTACTTTTGGTCTTTTTGAGACAGGGTTTCCCTGTAGCCCCAGCTGGCCTGGAACTCACTATGTAAACCAGGCTGGTCTTGAACTCACAGAGATCCGCCTGCCTCTGCCTCCCGAGTGCTGGGATTAAAGGCGTGTGCCACCACTCCCGGCTCCTTTTTTAAATTTATTTTTATTGTGTGTGTATGAGTGTATGTATTACCAGCATGTGTATTAGTGCACCTGTATCATGCACTGCCCTCGGAAGACAGAAGAGGGCATTGGATCCCCTGGAACTGGAGTTACAGATAGTTGTTAGCAGCCATATGGGTGCTGGGATTTGAACCTGGGGCTTTTGTAAGAACAGCCAGTGCTCTTAATCACTGAACCATTTCTCCAGCCCCTCTGCTGACATTCCTTTTTTTTTTTCTGCTGACGTTCTTAATGGCTGTTAAAGGCTAGTGTGTGAGGGGTTCAGGGCACAGAAATGACAAGTAGCTGGACCTATTCACCTCTCCCTGAGTACTCCTGAGAAGGACTGGGCAGGTTCCCTCTTAGGCAGGCTTTGGGGCAAACTGGGCAGGCACTCTGAGTACTGTACCAGCCACTCCTGAACTCATCTCCTCTAACCTTCCACAGAACTGTCCTTAAATAGAAGGATGAGGGCAGCAAAGCCCATGACCCTCAGGGAGGAAGGGAAACAACCCAGCTTTACCCAGGATGTGGCAACCAACTGACAGAAAAAGACTGGAAACCTTTCCTTTCCTGTGCTTCATACAACAAACAGAACATGCTCAAAAGTCTATAACATACAGACACGGGAGGGGCTGATACTATGCAGATGACCTCTAAAGGCTTATGTGGATCATGGCCTAGTGCTTTTGAAGCATGAACCTTTTCTTCAGCTTGTAGAGTGCTCTCCCTTTTGTTTGGTCTTTTTTTAGACAGGGTCTCCCTGTAGCCCCAGATGCCCTGGAACATGCTATACAGATCAGACTGGCCTTGAACTCACAGAGATCCACCTGCCCCTCAAGTGCTGGGATTAAAGGTGGTGTGCCTGCACGTGTATAAGTGCACCTGGGTTGTGCAATGCCCATGAAGGACAGAGGAGGGTGTCAGATCCCTGGAACTAGAGTTATGGATGGTTATTAGCTGTTACGAGGGTGCTTGGATTTGAACCAGGGTCTTTCTGCAAGAGCAGCCAGTGCTCTTAACCACTGAGCCATCTCCCCAGTCTCCTGATCCTGGATATTTGAGGAAGTGCACTTGGAATACTCCAGCAGCATAGATTCAGGTCAATCTACAACATGGGAGAGGTAGGAGGAAACCCAGCTTGGGCTCAGATTGTAAGGAGTGCCCCTAGTGCTGGGGTGTGGGCGGTCACTAACAAGGTCTCTCCCAAGGTCCAAGGACATAGCACCCACCCAGACCAAGGAAGTGAAACCCTGTCACCACACAGGTTCCTTTGTGCAGGGTGACAAATAGCAGTCACCTACAGCAGGGGAAAGTAGGTTCTCTGAAGAGCAGGTAGGTACAAAGGAAAGATCTAGGTAAAGTACAGAAGGTAGAGACAGGAAACTGAGGCCAATCATAACAACACCATCATCCAAACAGTTCAAGTCCTGGCAAGTCTGACCCCAAAGGACCTACAGTAAAAGAAGTGTGCCCACTTTCAAACATAGATACTATTTACCCCCATCTTCAGTGTCCTGTACAAGACACCTGACTTCCAACTACAAATTATAGCCCACACAGAAACATAGGCTTCTAGGAGCCCAAGGAAGGAGGCTCCTGCCAGCTGCTACCCTACCCTGCTGGGATATTTTAGGACCAGAGAAGTGGTGGCCCTCTGGCCATTGGTCAAGGCCATGTTTCCCAGCTCAGGAACCTGCTCAGCAAGCCCCACTCCCACCCATAACTTCCTGCCTATGTTCATGCCACTTAGCAAATAGTTGTGCCTAATACATATAATGTGACTTGTAAGACACGATAGGTCTTTTCTTTTTAGTCAAAAATCTCTGAAAATCAGTTTTCCGGGTTCTTTGCTACAGACAAACAGAAATTTCTGGCCACATAACCTCCTGCCAAATTGTCCCTTGGGGCAACTGTTCAAGAGGGCTACAACAAGACTATAACTTTTCATTTGTCCTTGTCCATGTTTCCAACCATTGCCTACACAGTGCTGGCTCTCTACATGTTTCCAGCATGTTGGCACACCTCCTTGCAGCACTCCAGGCCTGGGCAAGACGGCACCTCTGGCAGGTGTCACAAGTACCCAGCTCAGCATCTTAATCTTCACCCTGTAACCCCCATGTTCCCATCACTGCCTTGGCCACTCAGGCCCCAGAAATCTAGGCTTTAAGTCTGAGTATTCCCTCCCATAGCCCTCCTTTCCCAGGCTTCCCTGTCTGCTCCATCTCTGAACCATAGTTACCTCCTTCCCTTCCATTCTATTCTTTAGGAGACTCGGAGAGTCCGCTTTCTGCAGGCAGGTTTGACCACAATCCTCCTGTCTTTAAAATCTCTCAGTGGTTCCCAGAAGCCCTCCAGAATTTCAACCAAGCTAGGGAGCCCTCTGTAGCTTCATCTGACTCCCTCCCCTGGACACCTCTTGCCACCCTCCCCTCCCGCCCTGGCCACTGAGCAACTCACAACTCTGTACAACTCTGGGTCCTGTCTTACTGCGAGGCCTTCTCACACACCTGTACTGCACACCTTCACTTGCCAATTCTTATTCCTCTTACACAGTTCCAGGCAGGCACCATTATTCGAGGAGACCTTTCCTAATTTCCCGAGGGTGGGCCAGATGCCCTCACTTTTGGGTTCCTGTGCCATACCCTGGCACATATGTCAGAGACTCACTTTGGACTCTCATCATCTTTAAAAATGATTTTTAAATCTTTAAAATTTTTTATTTATTTATTTATTGTCTTTTTGAGACAGGGTCTCCCAGCAGCCCCAGCTGGCCTGGAACTTGCTTTGTAGGCCAGGCTGGCCTTGAACTCACAGAGATCTGCCTGCCCCCTCCTGAGTGCTGGGACTAAAGGCATGTGCTACCATGCCCAGTTTTTAAAAAACAATTTTTGAGGACCTGCTATATACCAGGTGCACTGATAAGCCTTCCTTCCCTTCCTCCCTCCAGATCTGTCTTTTTGTTGTTTTTTTGAGATGAGGGACTTGTTATATTGCTTAAACTGGTCTTGAACTTGTGATCCTCCTGCTTCAACCTCTTCAGTGCTGGGATTATAAGCATGCACCACCAAGACCAACCTAGTACTTTGCATATGTAACCTTTGCTCACCATACTTTGGGGACAGGCAGGATCCTTAGACCAAGAAACTTTGGTGGCAAAGGAATTTTACTCAACAATCATATTCTCAATAACTATACGAAGAGAAAAGTCCTCTCTGAGGGCTCAAACCAGATTCTTTCACCATGACACCCATGTTTTTCTTTCCTTTTGAGACAAGGTCTTACCATGTACCTTAGGCTAGACCTGAGTGGTGAACCTCCTGCCTCAGCCTCTCAGTACTGGGACTCTAGGCCGGCCATCACCATGTCCAGCCCCCTTCTTTTGTTATCTATTATCTGCATATAGTCTTATGTGGCGCTTTCACCACCTAAAATCTCCCTGTAAGACTCATGTGGGACATCTGGGCAATGCTCATTAGTTCACTTCTGTCAATGCCACTGCACTGGACCCTCAAACCTCAGTGAAAGAAGCCAGGAGAGAATGTTCTCTTTTCCATTACATAAAAGTGGAGATAATTCAGTGAAATGATGACGAGCTGACACCCAACCCCAGGTAGGGGCCATGCTTTCTTTTGCACAGCCTGGCTTGCCCTTCAGAATCGTTTTGGTCACCAACTGTTTATGTGAGATGTTTGTTCTGTAGCACCTCATGTGACTGCCTATGCAAAGTGTTGACTTCATCAGTGGCTGGTGAGCTGAGCTTCTCTTAACCTGAGGTCCATCTTTCCAGATGCTGGGCAAGGTGGCTCCTGCTTGTGTCCCTGGCTTTATCTTTTAACTTGTCCAAACTGGATGAGTGAATCTGCCTCACAACTCAGCCCAGCACAGGCTGCCTCCTGCTGCTGGAAAACCTCACTCTGTACCCCGTTTTCATCACATATGCCCCACTTTTCCTGAACCCTCTATTCATCCGACTCAGCACTGACATCTGCAATTCCAGGAAACCCTTTCCAACTATCGCACTGGAATCGGAAATGAGAGCAGTGATCATGTTTCCCTAAGTCTTCTCTAGGAGGTGCTTAAAAAGACCCCACTTTTTCTATAAACACTCAGATGGTATGTTTAAAATGCAGTTTAACAGTGAATGGGGACATAAGATCTGACTTTGGTCTCACACTTGTTCTGTAAGTCCTAGTAAGACACCTTCCTTCTCTGGTCTTGTTTCCTTTTGTAGGAAATGGGAAGAACAGTTTCTGTCTTATCCAAGTTAGATGGCAGACTTGAAGTACATGTTAATAAGCTTGAAAAATCACTTTAAAATGCAAAATAGGGGACTGGAAAGATGACTCAGCAGTTAAGAGCACTGACTGCTCTTGCAGAGGACCCTGGTTCAATTCCCAGCACCCACATGGTGGCTAACACCTGTCTGTAACTCCAGTTCCAAAGGAATTCAATGCCCTCTCCTGACCTCTACAGGCATTGCATGACACGGGGATGCACTTACACACATGCAGGCAATACACTCACATACATAAAATAAAAATAAAATATTTTTTAAAATGCAAAATAGCCCACTGCACCCTTCCAATGTAGCCATGGGAGCCCTCTCAATTATGGATCATGCTCCAGGTGATCCCAGTAAGTCCTTGAGGTAATACCTTGCTATTATGAATACACCGCACTGCGTAAGTCAGGTTCCGGAAGATGTTTCCTTCCATCTTGGCTCGGCCATAGGAGCAGACGAAGACGCCGCCCTTCCCATCTCGGAAGAGGCACTTGCGGATGAGGCATCCCTGCACAGAACTGGCCAGTGCCATGGCCTCCTTGTCCTTCTGCAGTTCCTGATGTAGTGAGTTTAGCACCAGACAGCTGGGCAGCTGAATGGATGCTCCAGGTAGTGGAGGGCCCAGAAAGGAGCCACCCAGGACAGGGCGAGGGCCCTGCACCTGGTAGGACAGTCTGTATGTGAGCTGTTCCTCATCTTCATCCTCACCGCTGGGGCTCAGGCCGCCATCACTGCTGTCTGGGGTCTGGGCCACCTTTTCCCCATCACTGCCCACCTCTGTCTCCTGGGAGCCAGCCTTGGAGCCTGGCTTTGGGGAGCTAGAGGCTGGGCTGGTAGGGCTCTGGCTGCCTTCGATGACAATGTCACAGGTCCTTGGGCTCCAGGCCTGGTCCCGGCTCTCTAAGTCCAGGGACATTAAAAAGTCATTGTCCTCTGCAGGAAGCAAAATGGGAGAGGATTTGATAAGGCCCAGTAGATATTTGTAGGCCCAGTTCTTATCTGCCGAAGGGTGACCCTCAACAGTTACAGAGTTGTTTTCGCTGCCCACAAATTCACAGTTTTCTAGCACACATAAGGGCACATTGTGCAGGAAGACATGGGTGTTTTTGAAGGTGCAAAATTTCACTTGGCAGGTACCTGGACCATGGACCTGGATGTGTCCATTCTCAAAGTTGCAGTTGTCAAACTGGATGTGACCTGATGTGGTCTGAAGAACAAGAAAAGGACATGGTAAGAAACTTACACTTTGTTTTGAGGGTCAGCATCCAAGTTGCTCTTCCAGGAGGGCAGAGCAGAGCAAGGCCCTGGGTTCTACTGTCTCTCCTTCCCCCAAAGGCCAAAGTGTTATCTCACACTCCAAGGAACCAAGAAGTGGATCTGTACCACAGATAGAGAAGAGAAGCTGCCAATCCTTGCATCCTCCTAATTCCCAAGTAAGTGGGGAAGGGGGTGATGACAGAGAAGTCCACACATCACAGCCTGACTCTTCAACCCTCCTGTATATCTTGTCTTAAAGTGTCCTAATACTCATCAGCTGTTTAGTAAGACTTTATTCTTCTCTCTCTGTCCCTTATGCTCTTTTTGGTGAAAACAGGAAGGAGGGAGGGCTGGGGACACAGCTCCACAGTAAAGCACTTGCCTAGCGCACGGGAAGAGGGAAGAAGCTGCAGCAGAGGGCTGCAGGAGATGGAACTGATACATTAATGCAGGAATAAAGCACGAGGAGGTGCGAAGGGAGATCCGAAGCAGTTGTTTGGATTTTCAAAACAGGAATGAGCTGGGATAAGCCAGCCTTTACCAAGCCTTTGGAAGGCAGGAGAATCCTTGCTTAGTGACTGAATTATAAGATGAACAAGTTAAATGACATGCCGAAGTTTCTCCTGATCTCATCCTTTTTAAAGCACTTTCCCTGTATCCAAACATTCTCTTGGGCCTATAGTGTGTTCTCCACCTGAGCCTGTTGCTCTGCAGTAGACTGCAAACTGGATGCCTGAACTCAAGAAGGTCCATGCATGGCCCTGATCACTGGCATAACAGAGAACAGGCAAAAAGAGGCTCAGCAACTGCCTTGGCCTGAACAGGTCATGGGGAAGGCCCAGTCATGGGCATCAGGAGAGTCCAGTCTGTGGGAGAGCAGAGCAAAAGACAGAAGGTTGTATCCCTAAGAGAAGGGACAAGGGTCCTGTAGTCCTCATTAAACAGTGGTTAAGAGGATGAGTTCTGGCGGATGACCAAGCCATGCTCTTCCAAGTATGTTACCCAGGACAAATGTCTTCACTTCTCTAAGCCTCGGTTTCCTTCTCTGCAGCATGGGGCTTACTAATTAATAAACCACAAAGCTGGAACTCAGTAAGATTTAGCAATTTATCTGAGGTCGCAGACACAAGGACCTCAGGAGTCTTGGGTGGATAGAAAAACGCTGAACCCCACAATTTATCTGGCCCCAGATCTGAGTAAAAGGTAAGCTTGGGGAGGCTGAACTTCTCTATAACCATTTCTGGACTCACACAAACCCCATCAGATGAGTCAGAACCATAAAATGAGAGCATCCCATGATCCTACTCAATAACCCCAACGAGGAATTTAAAACACTCTGCATCAGGCCAGGTGTGGAGGTGCACACCTTTAGTCCCAGCACTTGGGAGGCAGAGGCAGGTGCATCTCTGTGAGTTCCAGACCAGCCTGGTCTACATAAGCGATTTCCAGGCCAACTGGAGCTACAGGGAGACCCTGTCTCAAAAAGACAAAAACAAACAAAAAAAACCAAAACAAAAACCAAAAAGAAACTAAACACTCTGCATTAGTGATTTCCCTTGATGACTTTCCAAGGAATCTAGCCCCCCTGAGCCTCTCTAGGCTGTTCCTTGTTGTTCTTGCTGCCAATGAAGCCCATCTTCTCTTCCTTGGTCCTCTCTAAAGAGAACGGCCAGCTTCTTGGAGATGTGGCGTCAATGCTGGAGTTCTTACAAGTCACTGAAAACATCTGTGAAATTGTCCAGGCCTGTGCATTTTTCAGGCAAGGTCATCCCAGACCTCTGTACCTTATTTAGATAAAAGATAATCATGAACTGAGTGATACCATATACACCAAGCTAAATGGTAAGCTACAAAGAAGCCTGAGGCCAGGCCCTGTCCCTGGAGGAGTGATAGCTGTGCCTCTGGGGCGCAGACTGGTTAACATAGAACTTCAGGAATAAAAATATTTGAGGGCAAAAAGGGTCTAGAATATTGTTTCTAGAAACAAACTTTCCTTTTTGGTCTGTAGACCAGCACAGGGAAGCTCATTAGTCCTTCTGAAACATTCTAGAACTAAAAAGCAGCATAAGCCAGGCGTGGTGGCGCATGCCTGTAGTCCCAGCACTTGGGAGGCAGAGGCAGGCGGATCTCAGTGAGTTCAAGGCCAGCCTGGTCTACATAGTGAGTTCCAGGACAGCTGGGGCTTACAGAGAGACCCTGCTTCAAAAAGACAAAAAAAAAAAAGTAGCATGATGTAATTTTATAAATACTAGATCAGATGGCCTAGATTTGAGCTCTAACCTAATTATCCATCTGAGAAGTTTACTTAGCATCTATGACCTTCAGTAACCCTTATCTGTCAAAGTGGGAGGGGTACCACATGTACTGACCACCTACCTCCTGGGGATCAGAAGGGAAAGTTACCTGAGTTATAAATATGGGCTTTGGATCTTAGTTCTATTCCTAAGTCCAAGACCTTGGTTATATACTTGGTTTTGGAACTGCTGCTGAGCCCCAGTTTCCACATTTATAAATCAGATGCCACTACTCCTCTCTCAGGGCTGTAGGGAAGGGGAAGTGAGATGATGGTTGTAAAGCATACTCCTGGCTCAGACTGAACATGTCAGAGATGGCTGGTAGTGTGCTGATCATTACAACCTGAGACAAGAACTTGTTAGTAGTAGTAAAGAGCAAGCTAACTTTTACCACATAGGTATATAACCTAAGTATTATGAACTTTTATGAATATTTAAGCTGTAGACTGCTCTGCCAAGAGCTACCAACACCTTGATACATGCTTTGTTCTGAACATGTCTGTTCTGTGTTCATGAAACTACTGTATTGGACTAATATTTTAGGGCTTTTTCTCTAATTTCCCTTGAAAAATAGTTAATTTGACAAAAGTCTGATGTTCCTTGAGCCTGCTGCCTCTGCATAGCCTTCCCCCTCTCTAGGAATGCTGCTGTGAGCAGCCAAGGTGTTCCTGTCACCATGTTGTACACTTTCCTGCCTTGCTGCTTTACCTGGGGGTTCCAGATGATCTAGGAAAAAAGGAGGTATAAAAATTTTGGCCCCAAGCTCACCTCTCATATTCTAATGCAGTTTTTTCAAAAAAAAATTTAACTATTTTTATTTTATGTGTATGAGTATATTGCCTGCATGTATGTGAGTGCACCTGTGTCGTGCAATGCTGTGGAGGTCAGAAGAGGACTTCAGATTCCCCTGGAACTGTTAAGAACAGTTCATAGCCTCCATGTGGGTGCTGGGAATTGAACCCAGGTCCTCTGCAAGAGCAGTCAGTGTTCTTAACCACTAAGCCATCTCTCCAGCCCCTCTGTTTTAAGAGGAATAAAGCACAAAGCAAAAGTCTGAACTATACTGATCCTGTGCTCAACTATTTCAGGTCTCAGAGGAATGTGTGTAGGAATAGCTACCAAACTTTCAACTCCCAAAGAGCCATGGTCCTGGGGTCTGATGTGCACCCACCTTATACATGATAGGCGAGAACCAGGCTGGCATGAAGACGAGGTTGCACACACGTGTGGTTGAGCAGTGCTGGTCAATGCTGGCTAGAAGGGCCACCTCACCCAACTTGCCATGGCCCACAATCTCTACGGGCACCTTCAGGATGATTTCACCTTGCTCCTCATATACACCTGGGAACAGCACAATTCGGTCATAGAGGCTGGCCATGGCCAAGGCACTGCCCAGGCTGTCAAACTCATGGCCTGGCCCAACACTGAGGGTGCGTCGTTCCTTCCTCCTTCGGAACAGAGAAAAGCAGATAGAGGACTCCAAGTCCAGTGCATTCTTGGTCCAGGTCTTAGAGGCAAGGTAGTGCTGCTTGAAGGCCTCCCTCCAAGACTCAGGCTCCACATCAGGTTGGTTGGGCCAGTTGGGGTGGCGGCACTCAGTGCAGCCCAGACATAGCTGTCGCCAGCGGGTACTGTCTAGACTGAGGATCAGTTCATACCAGGCCCTGCATACCAGGCTGCAGCGGCCCAGGTCAGGTAGGTGTAGGTAAGCTAAGATCATGCGCCAGAGTTCCAGGGGAAGGCCACCCACCTCCATGGTCACCTAAGGAAAAGACATAAAAGAGGATTTTGTCTATCCTGCTTACTGTTCCCCTTCTTAAAGTAACCTTTGCCAACTCCTGATCCCAGGAATGAGCAAGTGAACAAGGCCCAAAGGACTCCATTCCCTCAATCAGAATCTGTGATGGTTAATTTTGACTATAAAAATGACAGGATTAAGAAGCACCCAGGATAGCTGGGCATGGTGGTGCATACCTCTAACACCAGCACTTGGGAGGCAGAGGCAGGTGGATCTCTGTGAGTTCAAGGCCAGCCTGATCTATATAGTGAGTTCCAGGTTGTCTGGGGCTACAGAAAGACCCTGTCTTAAAAAGAACAAACCAAACCAAACCAAACCAAACCAAACCAAACCCACCCAGCATAAACAAGTGTCCCAGTTACCACTCATCAAAGTACTTTCTTTTTTCATTATTTATTATTTAAATTGTATGTGTATGGGTGTGTTGCCTGCATGTAGGAAAGTGCACCCGTGCCATTCAGTGCCTATGGAAGAGAGAAGAGGCTGTTGGATCCCCTGGAACTGGAGTTACGGACAGTTGTTAGCTGCCATGTGGATGCTGGGATTCAGCCCAGGTCTTCTGCAAGAACAGCCAGTGTTCTTAACTGCTGAGCCATGTCTCCAGCCACAGAGTAGCTTCTTTTTCAATAGACAGAGATTATTTCTGAGTTATACCACTGGTCACACACAGAGATTCTCTGTGAATTTCCCAAGCCTAAGAGACACATCTAGGATGCATCCTCTACACCTAAGACTCATGGAACACAGAACAAAGGATGAAGAGAACACCAATGTATCTTTCAATTCTCATCAATGAAGCTCCCTCATCCAACAGAGGCCCAGGAACACAAAAGGCCACAAATGGCCAAAACCCAGAGACTAAGAGTCTGCAGAGTGTGGGTTCTTGGACAGGACTCCTATATTAAGGTCCACCCACCCAGGGCTCGGGGACCATTGCGGAAGGGGTGGGGGGAAGATTCTAAGAGCCAGGGAGGAGGTGCATGACCACACAGAAATAGTCCTACAGGCGCCTGGGAACGTTCTCATACAAACCTACAGCAATGGTGTCAGCATGCACAAGACCCATGCAAACTTAAGCAGATAAAAACCCAGCACAGAACTGTGCAAATGAATAGCAAGCCCTAATCTTAGTCGAAGAATTATTGGAAGCTGATTACTTCTGGATGAGGAAGAGATGATCTTCTTGAAGGGAGAGATGTTAGATAGGCTGACAAAACCCCGGCGGATGAACTTGCACTGAAGGACATCTTGGGACACTAGCTTTACATAATAGGTCTTAATACAAATGACACAATGTATGAACTCCAGTGGGGGGGGGCTATGGGAGGTGCCAAAGAGGAAGGGGGTATAAAATTTATTTTTTTTTTTTTGGTCGTTTTGAGACAGGGTCTCCCTGTAGCCCCAGCTGTCCTGGATCTCACTATGTAGACCAGGCTGGCCTTGAACTCAGAGATCCACCTGCCTCTGCCTCCCAAGTGCTAGGATTAAAGGCGTGTGCCACCACACCAGGCTAAAGTTCATTTTATGTATGTGTGAAAAGCACAAAAATTCAATAAAAAAAAGAAACACCCAGCAGCTTAGTGAAGCACACCTTTGGGTGAGTCTGTGATTAGTAGTAGGTCATGAAGACTCTGACCTCATCGGTGGATTAATCTCTTAAGACATCCATAATATTATGGCATTATCAGGAAGTGGGGAAAGGTACCCCACTTGTAAGAAGGAGGTCACTGGGAGTATGTCCTTGGGCTGTCATCCAATCCTGGTCTATTCCTGTAGTGTCCTTTTCTCCTCTTCCATTTACCATGAGGTAAAGAACCTGTAAAGAACCACATGTTCCCTCTGCATTGATGTTCTGCCCAACCACATGGGGCTAAGCAACTATGGACTGAACCCTTTGAAATCTGAGCCAAAATGAGTAATACTTCCCTTAAGTTGTTTCTGTCAAGTATTTGATCAGGGTGACAAGAAAAGCCCTCTAATAGAGAACTCATTGGGGATTTTCATCTAATCCTCGGCATTAATAGTTAAATCTCTATTCTCTCTGGTCAGATATACTAGGATATGACCTCAGAACTCCCTGCAGCCAGGTTCCCCACCTTGTGGTATAGTAACCATATAGAAGAGTAGAGATGAAATATGAAGATGAGAAAAAAAAAAAAGGTGAGCCCATGTGCATGTGTCCTGGGAGTACTGAATCCAGACTCTCAAAGATGCTCTTAGGATCTACCTAAGAGGGTTTGGATTCAGACAGAGGGAAGCCATCTTTGGCTGCCATGGTCCTAGAGTCTAGATGCTCTAGTTTCCCAGAGGAGAGGTCATGATCTCCTCACACCAATATGAATGAGAACTAAGTTGTCTGTCTCTCTCTCATCATTCCCAGATCAAGTGATTGCCATTGTTCCCTGGTGGGGCAGCCCTAGAAAAGATTGCCTGGGTTTGGGTCCTGACTCAGCCACTCTTTGATGTAAAGCTAATGTCCTAACCATCTCCTAGGCTAGCTGCCCCCACCATCTGCCTCCTCGCTTTCTTTGGAAAAGATCCTTCCTTCATACAAATGATTTATACCTCATGATTACAGAGGTAGGGCTCTCTAAAAATGCGTATGTAGCAAAATGATACTCAGCCCCATGGATGCATTTGATTGGCTGCAAACGATCCAAATGGGCCACTGAGACCTTCTCCAGAAGAACCTGAGTGGATATTCTGGAGGCTGGCTTCTTTCCTGGACTGTGAGACATAACAGCTTCTTTCCTAAGCAATAAACTCTGGAGTAGGTGCTGGTGATGGCTTTTCCACAGGAGACAAGAAGCAGATGTTGAACTACATTGAGAGAAGAATGAACAGAGAAAAGGGAGGAAGGGGTATCCCAGTTTCTCTGTAGGTCATGGTGCCAGGCTCAAAGCCCTGCTTGACCCTTGACCTTTGAATGCCCCGTATATCTCTGTGCTGTTCTAATAAATTCTCTTTGGGGATGGGCATGGTAGCACACATAATTTCAGCACTTGGGAATATCAGGAGTTCAAGGCCGCCTTGACTACATAGTGAATTCAAGGCCAGCCTGGGCTATGAGACACTGTCTCAAATAATTAAGTAAATAAATAAATAAATAAATATTCTTTTGGCATAAGCAGACCTCATCTGATTTTTGTTATTGATACCTAAAACTCTCTCATTTATTTTTATTTATCCTTTTACAATTCTGGGGATCAGACTTGGGGCCTCACACATGTCAGGCAAGCACTCTATCACTCAGCTCCTTGCCCCTTAAGCCCCTCTCATTTGAGTATCAATTTCTCTATCTAAAAAATAAGGTTGAGTTAAATAACCAAGATCAAGTCTGAATCCCTGTTGTCCATAGACAACTAGAAACAATTGACTCTGTAACTGACCTAGCATCAAATGTTTTAAAGAGGTGGTGGTGTTATTTTGTTCTCTCTACATAAAGACCTGGTGACCTGAACCTGACTCCTTGAATGCACAGACTTTAATTCTATTATTATTTTGAATATATTACTATTTTATTATTATTTTGGTGGTCTTGGAGTTCTATGTGCAGGCAAGTGCTCTCCCACTGAACTATAACCCCGGTCCTCCTTTTGCTTTTCATTTTGAGACGGAGTCTGTTCAAGTTGCATAGGCAGGCCTTCAACTAGTAACCCTCCCGTCTCACCCCTTCAAGTCGTTGGGATTACGGGCCTGCACCATCAGGACAAGCCCACATATTGCATTTCTGAGTCCCAAGCCTTTGCACATTCCATTTCTGCTTCCTATCTCAGACTGAGCCTCCTCCTCCCACTTAACAGATGCCCCCATAACACTAATCTCCACACCATTTACTTAACTTTCTAAAGTTTTCTATCTCCCTATAAAGAGAATCTGATTTATAAGAGTTTTCTAGCTGTCCCTTATCTCACTTTTATTTTTGGTGACTTCAATTCAAAGCCATCAGAAGAATGACCACACATCTTAATAATGTGCTATATCAAGTATGCAAACTATCCAAACATTATCCTCCCAGAGCCTGAGCTCATCTAAAGCAGGACCAACTGCTGCATCTGGAAGGAAATGTCTTTTGATCATTTCCCAGTGCACTGACCTGAGCCTACACCCCTGGTTTTTGTCCCCAGGTCCCACTTTCTGATACTAGCTCTGAGTTAACTGTGTACTGTTCTTTTAGAGAGCACCACACTGTAGGTATGCACTTTCTAAGATGCCTTATCCATGGGGTTCTTTCCTTCTACAAGGACAATCAACAGGTTTTCCAGAGTGAACAAGCTTAACCCACATTTATATATAGCCTTCCATGGCTCTATTGCTAATATTCCAATTCTTAGGAGAGTCATGAAAGACAGCTAAATCACAACTACCCAAATTATAGCCACCAGTCCTCCTAAGTGCAGCTCACCCCGTTGCCAACTTGAGCCTAGTTTACTATAAGTGTTCTACCCAGGAAACATGTGCCCATGTGACATACCATAGCACCCAGTATGCAAACTTCTGGTTTCGGTCCCAGATGGGTTTCTCATGGTTACTACAGGAGCCTATTAATAATGTCCTAGGCCACAATCCAGTTATAGAGAATACAGCAAAACCCACCTAATACCTAGCACAAAGTACTAGCTTACTAACACTAGTTTAAATAAAAGAATAAGCAGTGGTGAGTCTCTACCAAGTCTCCACCCTAATTTTTAAATATTATTTATATTTTATTGTTTATTTTTATGTGTATGAGTGTACTGCCTGCATGTAAGCACACTCATGTTGTGCAACACCCACAGAGGTCAGAAGAGGGTGTCAGATCCCCTGGAACTGGAGTCACAGATGGTTGTTAGCCACCATGTGGGTGCTGGGAATCAAACCCAGGTCCTCTGCAAGAGTAGCCAGTGCTCTTAACTGCTGAGTCATCTTTCCAGCCCCTTTACCCTACTTTTTAGGTGCATACTTAATGTTTTCTAAACCAATTA